ACACATGGAATCCAGGACAGATAAACCCCTCAGGAACAATAATGGGAGTTGCAATACCATGAGGGTAAGGGGAAGGTGTGGGGAGAAAGGGGAGAACGGGGGAACTGATCACAATGATCGATGTATAACCTCTACATTCTCCCCACCCCCCACCAGAGGAGAACAAACAACAGAAACATGGGTGAAGACAGCGGATGGTGTAAGTTATGAACATAATAATTTTTAATTAATCAATGGGGAGTAGGGAGGGAAAAAAGAAAAGCTGATACCAAGGGCTCAAGTAGAAAGAAAATGTTTTGAAAATGATGATGGCTACATATGTACAAATGTGAGATACAATAGATGTATGGATTGCTAGAAGACCTGTAAGAGCCCCCAATTAAATGATTAAAAAAAAAAAAGAAATTACTTTTGGTGAGATCACTGGTAGCACAGCCTAGAATTTTCGAAAAGCAAGACTAATTGATAGCCAGCACAGACCTCTTGGGGTCAAGCACAAAGGAAGTTTTCTGAGCATACACTGGGAGAGAAGAGCTGGAGTAAAGACGTGAGAAGAGGGGCTAAGATTTATTTCTCTATATAGAAACATTTTAAAGGATTTGGGAAGCCACGTATGAGTATAATTATACTGTTTTGGAAATTGAAATATGAACCAATCCACTAATGCATTTTTCAATGACCTATTAAAAGAAATGTAAAGGCTTATAGCCACAGAAACGAAAGCTTTGGAGCACTGATGTGGCTCCTGTCTATCTCGCTTCATTTCAAGCTGGTGCCCAGACACGCCCCAGTCTTGACAGCCAATGTCTTGAAGCAGAGTCTGTTCTAACAAGACCCCCTACAACACACTGGAGACTGAACTCGGAGATCACCTTTCCCCCCAACTCCCAAGCAGTTACATGTAAAAAAATTATTTTTTCAGTAAACAATTCTATCATTTGAACAAAAAGAAATTACTGTCCTGATTTGTCAAGATAGGCTTTTTAATACTAGACATGCAATTAAGCACAAGATTCCTATCAATTAGGAAGAAAACGACAGCTTAGGTGGATAACTTTCCAAATCACGATGGCTTTCAAGCATATTTTTTTGTCCATTTGTCTTAGAGCTTTGACTTTCTAAAGACACGTAAGTGTAGTTCATAAATGACAGCTCAGAACGACAGTTAAAAAAGGCTTTTTAAACGCAAGTTCAAGATGCAGAGAAATAACTCGTCAGTTATTGGATGAGTAAATTTACTTGAGCACTCTATTTGCTAAGCCTCCCAGTGGAAAATTTAAAAAACTCAACTAGACACAAGAAAACTTTTTAGTGTCTTAAATATCTCAAAATAAACATGCTCTCAAAGATATTTATGTATTTTATCTGATTACATGCACTAAAATATATGGCCTCAAATTCTATCACAATTATTTAAATGGTCATTTACAGTCGACATGAGTAAATGGGATATACAGATAGACACACACACACACACACACACACACACACACACACACACGGTATGCTCAAAAGAAAATGTTGGATTTAAGAGGCGCAATCATAAGAAAGCGTGAGGAAAAGTATACCTAAAACAGCATTTTGGATGTGAGAGTACCTTAAAGGCCATATATTCCAAATGAAAGAACTCATTTGTTCTATTATTGAGCATCCGCCAGGCCTCTTACCCATTGCTGTCGAGCTGATTCTCACTCATACCAAGCCACAGAGTTGAACCCACCGAAGCCTCATTCTTTACAGAAGTTAACAGCCCCTCTCTCCTGTGGAGCAGTTGAACTGTTAACTCAGTTTGCCTCTTGGTGAGCAGCCCACACATTAACTTGTGCTTCCTGGGAACCTGTATATCAGGTAGACAACCCAAATCCCCCTGAGAATCTTAGAGCCAGATTTTAAAAAAAGGTATTTAAGTTTGGAACCCATGCCTCCAGCATAAAATCATGTTATTGTTTTTTAAAAAGTGTATGTGTTTGGGGGTCAGGAGTGGGAATGGGGGTGGGGTGCCACCACAGTGGTAGAGGTAGAGGAGTAGGGAACAGGAATCCTAAAACGAGGATTTCTGTTCCTAAAATACTGCAAACTATGCTTCAAATAGGGGCCACAGGCTTCAGCAAACCAGTACTTTGAGGTTTATGGATCATTTACTTGCTTGAATGAAAATTATGTGAAACTGGACATCCTTATTTCTAACCGCACCAGTGGAACTACAGAACTGCACGTAGCATCTTTCCCAATACCAATCTTAGTAGTAACTAGTTACTCATAGTATTACACAGTGACCGGTCATTGCATAGGAGCTACTCAGTGTATCAATAATTAATGTGGGAAAAGGCCTGTTAGGGAAGAGAATAAAATAGATGGCTCCTTGGCCCACCTTAACAGGAGAAAACAAAACACTGCTCACCTTCTCAGTCTCCTCCACACTGGTGGATTTCACGGTACAAGGAGCCGGCCCCTCCTGGCTCTGGGCAAGGTCCTGTGGCACGCTCTGAGATGATGACATTGGAGGCAGTGGAGCCCGTCTCTTCTTGGGGGCATCTGATGGCAGGGTGTTTGAAATATACTGTTTGGAAATGGTATTGGACCTCGTAAAAGTCGGACGAGGCTTACTTATTAGAGGGGTTGCAGGGGCACTTGCAGTCTAATAAAGGATGAAAAAAAAAACTCCTTATAATTTCAAGATAAAAAGCACATGCAATGAAAAGAAATTAAGTACCTAATGAAGCAATTCATAAGAAAATGCAATACTTACTTGATCCCGCCTTTTCTTACTGCGTTGAAAAAAGCTGAAAAACCCTTTATTTTCTTTCTCCTTTAGCAAATCTAGGGTTTGTGGCGTTTGGCAGGGCTCTAGAAGAGAAGAGAAGCACCTCACTTTTCACATGATGTTTCACGTAGACTTGCCATCTACTGCCTTCCCTTGAAGAAAGCATGGAATGACGACACTTACAGTCTACTCTGCATGGGAACACCGCTAGAGACTGTCTATATTGTATCTTACTGATAAGCCAGTGCAACAAGCAAAGCTAGGGTTATTTTTCCCATTTCACAGCAGAGGACATAGGAAATTAAAGAAACTACAATACACACGGCCCACGGCCCAACACCCAGAAAATAACAGACCAAACATATGCTCGGTTACTTGCGACTCAACAGACTTGTGTTCTACATATAGCGAACAAGATGTCAGATGCAAAGGTAAACACCAAAACACCTTGAATTGAATGAGACGTGAAGTCATTTCCATCGTCTGTCCTGCTGTGTACTGTGAATTATGGTTTTGACTCAGAGATAGACTCTCAAGAAATACTTTATTTTCTGAAATATGATTTGCCTTATAACTTAGTACCCTGTTGAAAGTTTAAAAAATGTTAAATTGTCCTCAAACCAGTGTTTCTCAGTGGGGGATACTTGACATGCTGAGGCCATTCTCCTTCCACAGCCGGGGGGGAAGGGGTGTGTACTATATGACTATAGGGGGTGGGGTGGGGAATGGGATTAAATGTCCTGCAATGCAGAGGACAACCTCCCACAGCAAGCATTACCCAAGTATAGAGTGTCAAGAATGTCTAGGTTCAGAAAACCTACTTCATTCAGAATGACAAATGCTAAGACACAAGACTCCATACAATGTCTTTCTATAAGTTTTTCCAGTTTTTCTCACTGGAAGAGCCTACAAATCTAACCTAGTAGCACTGAGCTTGCTTGGCCCGGCTGTCTCTACCATATCCCACTAAAATAATGACAAATACTTGGAAATGCCTGATTTTTTTCGTTTTATCAAGAACTGTACCAGGTGAGCCTGGAACATCTTTTCCCACCAGAAAGGACGATACCAACGTCCACTGAAGCCCTGTCACAGGAATCAAAAACCAATCTGATAGTGCTTCTTTGAAGAAAAGACAGGTCAATTGTGTATCAATAAAAATAATGAATCAATACGTTGAAACACACAACATATACTTAAGTCCATGAACTCATAATGCTCATTGTTCATCTTTGATAATGGTAAAGAACCAGAGCACTTATTTAAAAAAAAACCCAAAAAGAAACATTGATGAAAGATTTCTACTTGTATCCTTCCTTTTCAGACTGTATTCCACCTTTGAGTAATAAAGAAGTTGGTATGAGGAAGTTTGCTTTCTAAGAATTATTCCCACTAATGATTTGCGTGCATGAAATAGAATGCTACAATTTTGCAACCCTGAGTTAACTAAGAACAGAGCATGAAACATCGAGAGTAGGTATAACAATATTAGAAATTACATACCTCTGAATGTAACTTCAGATTAAAGCTATAGTTTTACCATAATATACCTATGAAGTGTTCTTGCAAAAATTACCTCAACCAGACCTGATCAAGTCTATAGATTTAATGATGTGGAGAAACACAATACGAGAGAAGGACCTGTGAAGTGACGCCACACGATGTAATCAGGAAACTCCAGAATATGACAAAAGACGTTAGTGGTGGGGGCAAAGGTGAGCCACATAGTGGATCTCAGAAACTCTGAGCAGGAGATCACCGATGGAGCAGAGGTGTGGGCATAAAACGGCACAAGGTTACCCGCTAAATTGTTGGAGGTGTCATAATACCTGCTTAACTCTCACTGGGCCAAGGTTGTCTCAAAGCTGCTCATTGGAACAAATACAGCCACTCTACCCTGACCTGACCAGATGATACCTCTGCTGAGAGGAAGAGAGACCTGGTCTATGGAATGCCAGCCCAATGACACAAAAGGGGACACGGTGGACTTGGGAAAGGTGGGTGGGTTTCCAGTCACCATAAATTTATTGTGGTTGTTACTGTTTGCTTCCTAAAAGTAATCTGTCCTTGCTATTGTTTATCTTCCATAAATAATAATAATGGCTTTCAATTGCCAACATTGTGTGTCTTGTGGATGTAACCCAATCAGATTGGAAAGGACAGCCCTTAATCTAGTGGACTAATGATTGCTTGGGATTTAGAGGTCTAACCCATGGATGCATGCACACATGTACGTGTATGTGGAGAGTGTCATGCTTCACTAGTTGAATGTAGATACACAATTAAACTTAGAATATCACACAAAACCAAGCCCACTCCTTGTGAGCCCATAGATGGTTTCAAGACTGTGAACCCTTAGTGCAGCCGACAGGCTTGTCTTTCTCTTGAGGAGTGGCTGCTGGGTTAGCAACTGAATGCCCAACCCACAGCTTCATCAGAGCCCCTCTTAGGAATGGATGGAAAATTCTCATGGTGGCACCGCACAATAAATATAAACAGATTATCTCATTATTTTAGGTAAAGCATTTTCTAGGCATCCTGTCATCCTTGGCATTCGTTAACGTCTAAGCTTGTATTTACTGCTCGATGTCAGGAATCATGGTACCTCAGAGCTAACCGCTGGGAAAACAGAGGACTTGAGTCTACTTAAGAAAAGCAACTCAAGACACTCATACAGTAGTCTCTCGTTTCCAGAAGGTAGGATAAAAATGACCGCAAGAAACGTGCTAAAAACTATGCAAGCTTTTGGCTACTATCAGATGAAATAAGGGGGTGGGATATATTTACAGCATGAAGACCAATTTTTACAGATCGCCACACTGTAAAGGAGATTTTCTTAGTTTTGCTATTTTAATCTCTCAAGGCTCAGGTAATAATATTTAATACTTGGAATAAACTACGTATTTTATGGTTGAAAGGGTCTTAGAAATCAATGCATTCAAACACCCTCAGATGATGATAAAGTGATTACAGGATTTGCTTAGGCAACATTAAAAACAGAGGAAAGTATGAATAACAGAATGTTGGCTTTTGAAAGAACGGCAGAGCTCTGGGTTCACAACCCCTCTTATTATTAGAGACGTGGAAGGCAAGGTGCAGCTATCTGCAGTCTGTCAAATTATCTTGATAGCTACTGCAGTGCCAGAATTACAATGTCTACATTGTGACTCAGAATCAATATGCAACTTAAAGGCCTAAACATTTTTTATTCCTTCAATTAAGCTGGCCTTTGAGTGACAGTCACCAATCATATTCTTACTGTTCCTTATGTATGAGCCGTGGTAGCACTGTTGGATAAGTGTTGGGAGGCTAACTACAAGGTTCATGGTTTCATGGTTCAAACTCACCAGCGGCTCCGTGGCAGAAAAATAGGACTGTCTGTTCCTGTAAAGACTGACAGCCTTTGGTCATTATAGTCAGAAATTTATTCTATGGCAGTGGATTTGTGTACATATACATACACGCTTAATTCTTGGAATTGGGAGGCTCAGTGTACTACTTTGGGATATTTGGAAGAGATAAAGAAAATTCAAATAACACAAAATGTGTACAGTTTCAGCCTCTTATAGTAGGGTGGTAATTATTATAATAGTAAATTATCAGAGCCTATTCTTTTTTAATGGGGAAAAAAGCCATCCAGTGTTTATTATTAAAATTTTCAATAGTCTCCCTCATTTTATAGAAGCAATACATGTCTATTCTAAATCTATATAATAGGAAGGATAAAAAAAACTACCCATAGTCTTTTAAGTAAAGGTAACTTTGGAATTTCCTTCCTTTCAGAAATTTCATGTAAAATCCTTTTTACATACTATGTTAAACCCATTTATACATGTATACTTAACAGATAATATTTTCCCAAATTACTGCAAAATATTCACAATGGTCATAAGATATCATGATGAATATATGATAATTATCAGTAATATTCATAATTATTCCATGGAAAAATCAGATTCTTCCACAGTACCACTAAATTGCTAGCATTATACCTCATTAACATCCTAGCAAAATCATGCTTTTTCTTACATTCTTAGAGTGTTGTAATTTAAAAATAATTATTGAAATGTGATCATTGTAGTTAAATTCAGAAATCAAGTGGCAACCTATCAATCATGCTTCAGAAAATGAAACTCAAACATGTTTCTAAGTTAAAATCTCTCACAGGATGCATACTAGTAATGCTAGTAAACAGCAAAATTAGGAGCTTAATTTCTATGTACCCCATACCAATAGATATTTCATGTCACAATTTGCTGCTACTGATTCATGTGTCTTACCTTGTAAAGATGATTTATTGAAGGCAGTACCAGAAGTGTCTACAGAAGGAGGGGTAGAAGAGGGTCAATTGACTGTAACAATGTTTGCTCACTATACGTAACACATCACTAAGTTGTAAAAGTCATCTGTGTATTACAAATACAAAGCCACAAACAGATTGAGATACAAGTTCCTATGCAGAGTAAGTAAATGGCTCCTTCACTAAACTCTTCTCTCTGTAAGATGTATTGATATTACATAAATAAGCTTGTATTTGTCTGTATATACTATAAAACCAACATTCTGAGATCTCTAAATTTAAATATACTATTTTCTATAAATTAAAACTGTAAGCTATTCTAGTTAGAATCAGACTAATCTACTGTAAAAGCCAATTTATTTGGTGTGCTTATCTAAATGTGTGTGTGTGTAAAGAAAATTCCAAACTTGAATAATTAAGGATTGGATAAAACTTCAGTTTATAGAAATTCACACAGGATTAGATGAACAAAGAATTAACAATGTGTAAAATTTCATTGGTCGGATTTTCAAAACTACATAGATTCAATTCTACCAGGAAAACATAAAATGTAGATGACAGATGAAAGAAAGTATTCATCCCAAATTGCATATAGTGATAGTGAGTCAAATTTTCTTATATTTTCGTCCTTGCTTGTTCCCAGTGGCGTGTGTTTACTTTTATCTGTGGATCTATTAATTTGCAATTAACAATAACAAAGACCTACATTTTAAACACACACACACACACACACATACACACACACACACACACACACACACACACCTCATCAAGTGAAATGAACAGCATCACTTACCTCTGCTGACATCCACGGCATACAGCTCTCTTAGACCTAGGTCATTAAGGGACTTGGTCAAGTCCAGAGGTTCCTTAGATTGATAGTCCTTCAACAGCAGCGTGTGTAACGGATCAAACTCACATTTGCTGCATATAGCAGGGGCAAGTTCTTGAAGCGACACGTGTGGGCTAACTCTCACTATCGTCTTCTGTGTTTTCTTGAAATTGATTACTACTCTCACAGTTTTCTGAAAAAACAGATTAAAGTTATAGCTACACCATAACATATTTATTGACAGGTTTGCCAATGTTGTCAAGAACAACATACACTTAGTAAGCAGCAGCATTTTTATATCTTGGTGTATTTTTAAATTAATATTCTCTCTTAAATCTAAAGCAAATTTTAAAAAATCATTCGTTATTTAGCTTAATATATTAATGCAGATACAAGTTCTAATCTCTGTGGTGTTGTTGTTGGCAGGTACTTTTGAGTTGGTTTCCTATATCCAACAGAGCGGAACACTGGCTGGTTGTGTACCACACTCATAATCATTCCTGGATCTCAGTCCTGCGAGAGTCACTGGGTCAATCCACGGCATGGAGGGGCTTCTTTTGCACTGACTCTCTGTGTCAGTAAGCTTGATGTCCTTCTTTATGGATAGGTTCCCTCCTGATAACTAGCTCAAAGCACATGAGCTGATGTCTCGCCATCCTCATTTCTAAGAAGCATTCTGGTGATACTTCTTATAAAACAAATGTCTTTTCTCTGGAAGTCCATGGAATATTAATATTCTTTGCCAACACCAGGACTCAAAGGCACCAATTCTTCTAGCTTCCTTATTCATTTACCAGCTTTTGAATGCTAATGAGCTGAAAATACGCAGGTTTGGGTCAAATATACTGTTAGGCTGAAATGTCTAGAGAAATGAAACCAGTGACCTCATTTATCTCTAAGAATGAACTTCATATCAAAAAGTACTTTTATTATAAGAAGGTGTCTTAGCCCAATCCAACTCACGTCTATGGGTCAATACTACCTATAGACCTCTTTGACTCATAGCGCAGGCCAACAAAGCAGAAAGGTAAATCGTGCAGCATAGAGATCATAGGCGGCTAAGAGTCGGAAATGACGATGACAGCAAATTGGGAGTTTTTTTGTCTAGTATGTCATTTTGTTGTATGAGGTGGCCTGCATGTTTCTGTGATGCTGGAAGCGATGACACCAGCATTTCAAATACCATCAGGGTCACCCAAGGTGAACAGATTTCAGCAGAGCGGCCAGACTAAGAACAGACAGCAAAGATATAGGTCGACTACTTCTGAAGGATCAGATACTGAAAAGCTTAGAAAGAACAGTGGAACTTTATCAGATATGGTGTCAGAAGATGAGCCCCTCCAGTAGAAGGCACTCAAAATGCATCTGGGGTAGAGCTGCCTGTGGAGGGAGCAAAGCTTTCAGTATCTTCTATTTGTTGATGGGGCATGACTCATAGAAGAAGAAAACAGTTACAGATATAATTATTGCAATGTGGAATATATAAAATATGAAGCTAAGAAATTTGATAATCTTGAAAAAAATGAAATTTATAAAGATTGATAACCCAGGTATTAGCTAGTTGAAATGAAATGGTATCATCCAGCCTGAATGAGATAAGTATATGACTTTGTGTGCCAGGAATGACAAATTTAAGAGGGATGGAGGAACATTTACAATCAAAAAGAGTATTTCAAGATCTATCTTGAAGTACAATGCGGTCTGTGACAGGGCATTAT